ATTTGGAACCGCATACCGTCACAGATTTTTGTTTTCAAAACCTGGTTGTCCTCCAGCTTGTCCACTAAAAAAAGAAAAGATTTCCTACATACATATCTTGTCTAGTTCTTGCTTACAAAGCTGTGCTTGTAATTCTAGATAGGACTTCAGAACCTGAGAAGAGTCTGCCACGTGAGAAACATAGTCCTCTAACAAACCCCATCGTGTTCTGTTATTGCTCTGGACACTAAATGTCACAGAGGTGCCTGGGACCAGTCCCACCAACGCTGCAAAGACTGGGAAGCTGAGCCGTCCGGGGGCAAAGGGACGGCTGCCGGTGACCGCTCAGAGAGCCAGAAGCTGCTTCTTACAAACGCGAGAGCCGAGATGGTCAAGCAGATCGTATATGAGCAGCAGAACAAAAGCAGCCGTTGCTGTTTAGTTATACAAAAACCCGCAGTGCACTTTTTCGCTGATAACGGCTGCCTCTTTATTTTTTATCAGAGCAACGGCTGGGGTTTTATAGCATGATCAACAGCTAAAGCAGAAGTCCATGACTTGGCTTTTCCCTCACGCTGCGGCCTCTGGGCTGCAATCCACATAAGCACGGCACTAAAATGGACGGGGGCATGTGGAGCCGATCAGAATTTACTTTTTGATTACACTGGATTTTCATTTATAGCTTCATCCAGGCTGCCCTGGGCTGGGGGAGATTGGAGACAATAATGTGCAGGTCATTTCTAAAGAACATTTTCCAGTTAAAGAAAATGAAATCCATTTGCAGTAGAAAATAGGTGGAGAAGGGAAGGTGTCACCAGTAACTTGTAAAACCGTATGTCCCCAGCGATCACAATCCCAGAGCTCTGTTCAGTAAAACCAGAAGTGCTTTCTTGCAAAGGATGGACAATAAGTGTAATGTGCAAGTAAGAGGATCTAAATATTCAACAAAAGAAGGATCGAATTTGAATTTTTTTTTCAAAATCTAGATGTGCTCCAACATATTTTAAAAGAAGCTTTGAAGTCTTTTGGGGCAGTTTCATTTCTGAGGTATTACGTGATTTGTGTAACTACATCAGAGCTAAACCAGTACTAAAACATCATCGGGGCCCACAGGTCTGTAAGGCATGGATTTACTTTTCTTCATCTACTTAGAAAAAAGTTACAGGGGAGCCTCTGAGGGCATGAAATGTTTGGAGCAATATTGCCTCTTGTCGTGGCATCTGCTTTGGTGCAGGCTGTTGCCCCCGGTCCTGCTGCCCCCTGCCGTGCCTCGCTGAGCCAAGGCTGCAGTGGTGTCCAGCGACAGGACTAGGGGCAACGGATGCAAACTGAAACAGAAGAGGTTTCAGTTGAATATGAGGAAGAACTTCTTCACTCTGAGGGTGGCAGAGCACTGGAACAGGCTGCCCAGGGAGGTTGTGGAGTCTCCTTCTCTGGAGATATTCAAAGCCCGCCTGGATGAAGTCCTGTGTAGCATGCTCTAGGTGAGCCTGCTTTAGCAGGGGGGTTGGACTGGGTGATCTCCTGAGGTCCCTTTCAACCCTTACGATTCTGTGATTCTGTGTGATTCTGTGACCAGAGCCACCTCCCGGCGCAGGGAACAGCCCGCGTGCAGGGGCAGCTGAAGGCGCCTCCAGTACCTGTCGAAAACTGTTACCAGATGAAATCACTGCCCGCGTTATCAACTGGCAAATACTATAATTTGAAAAATCTGGATTTATATCAATTAAACTTCGGATGTCATCAGTAGTCCTAGAACTGTCGTGTGTGTGTCAGCTACAAACGGATTGTTATTGAGAGAAGCATCCATTAAAGCCAGCATAATTCAGTTTATGCCAGCCTCCTCATCACTCTATGTTAATACATTCCTTACCATTACGGTGCCATTAGGATTTATTTTTGTTAATGCAGTTAATGTCTTAGTCAATTCTTCCATCAGTTGAAAGTTACTTGAGAAGGGATGTGTGTTCTACAGCTGGCTTTCCCCCCTCCAGCGCTGTCTTCTCAACTCTCATCCAAGTCTCAGCTACCAGAAAGAAAAATCTAACTCAACAGGGCCAAATGCTTTCTGGCTAACATTCCCGCTTCCCTTCCTCCAAAACACAACCACCGAACAAATAACAGCACGCCAAAATAAAAACGCCATGTGCTGCGTTCTCCTTACAGCATCGTATCGTAATCTGAAATAAAATGTTGTTGTTTCATTATTGAATATGCTGAGCAGATTTTGAAGGAAAAGTGTTGTATAAATGGCGTTCCTGTCACCACTGTCTAGGTTACTATTTTTAAACTATCTTAAAAGCTGTATTTAGCTCTGCTATTTTATATCTCTTTGGTGGGCTCTGACTAGGTTGAGGCTTCACCACCTTCTAACTGAAAACGCCGCTATTTCCTGCTCTCTGCTATTGCGTTTTATCCTTGTGATGTGCTCTGTCTCACGTATCGCACAGCTCGATTACGTTAGTTAGATAAAAAGACAAAACTTTTGAGAAGTCTCCACTGCAATCGTTAGAGCATGAGATTCACGGCGGCGCCTCGAACTGCAAGAGGCGTGCTCTTTAAATCCCTACTCAGATTTGTCACGCGCTTCGTGGTTCATTCAAAGCTCGCAAAACACACGCACTACCCCGTTTAACCTTCAGTGAAATACGGTAACGGTGTACATTATCCACCAGTACCGGTGTACATTATCCACCAGTACCAGTGTACGTTACTCGCCAGTACCAGTGTACGTTATCCACCAGTACCGGCATTCAAAGCTCGCAAAACACACGCACTACCCCATTTAACCTTCAGTGAAATACGGTAACGGTGTACATTATCCACCAGTACCGGTGTACATTATCCACCAGTACCAGTGTACGTTACTCGCCAGTACCAGTGTACGTTATCCACCAGTACCGGTATACATTATCCACCAGTACCAGTGTACGTTACTCGCCAGTACCAGTGTACATTATCCACCAGTACCAGTGTACGTTACCCGCCAGTACCAGGGTCACT